GGTCAGAGACAGGTCAGAGACAGGTCAGAGACAGACAGGCTCAGAGACAGGTCAGAGACAGACAGGCTCAGAGACAGACAGGCTCAGAGACAGACAGGCTCAGAGACAGGTCAGAGACAGGTCAGAGACAGACAGGCTCAGAGACAGACAGGCTCAGAGACAGGTCAGAGACAGGTGAGAGTTGGACAAATGTCTCACCTGTAGTGTGGTGGGCCACAGCTTTGGCCAACATGGTTTTCCCGCAGCCTGGAGGTCCGTACATGAGGACACCCCTGGGTGGGTCGATACCAATCTGAGGAACAAAACAACACATCAGTCCAACCCTGATCATTTGGTCCAACTGTCTCTCCTCTGGACATGTCCCATAACAACACTGTCTCTCCTCTGGACATGTCCCATAACAACACTGTCTCTCCTCTGGACATGTCCCATAACAACACTGTCNCTCTCCTCTGGACATGTCCCATAACAACACTGTCCCTCCTCTGGACATGTTCAAACCATCTCAGTCTGGTCTCTCAGTCCTAATCTTCTCCATCCTTGTCTCTTCATCTTCAGCTCTGACACGTCCAGTTCTGTCTCCTGTCTCAGAGTCTCAGTGTCTCTGTGTCCGTGTCCCTGCCTCTCTCTGTGTCTCAGTGTCCCTAACAATGAACTAATAAAACAAACACAATAAACTTGATAAAAATATATATTCTCATGACATTTAGGGGTTGAAATGACAAAAAATAATCTTTTAAAACAGCATGGGGTTTATGAGGGGGTCCCTGTAATTTTCTTCACCCTTTTAAAGGGGTCCCCGGACCCAAACGGTTTGAGAAGCCAGCTGTAGAACATGAGGTGAGCTGTCCTGACCTGCTTGTAGAGCTCAAAGTGAGTGAGAGGCAGCTCCACAGCCTCTCTGACCTCCTGCTTCTGGATGTCCATCCCTCCGATGTCAGCGTACATCACATCAGGCTTCTGGTCTGAAACAGGGACAGCAGGTCAGTCTGCGGTTCTGTCTCTGACCCGGCGGGCCGCGGGGCGCAGCGTACCTGACGTCAGCATCATGATGCTGCTGTCGGCCTCAGGAGGAAGCACGTCCACCAGGGCGTTGCTGTGCTTGTGCAGAGCCACCGAGGCGTTGGGCTTCAGCAGCTCCCTGTCGATGGTGCTCAGGATGCGCACGTAGTAGTTGGAGCCTGGAACAGGAAACAGACCGGACCACATGAGGAGCAGGTCTCAGACCGGACCACATGAGGAGCAGGTCTCAGACCGGACCACATGAGGAGCAGGACTCAGACCGGACCACATGAGGAGCAGGACTCAGACCGGACCACATGAGGAGCAGGTCTCAGACTGGACCACATGAGGCCGGACTCAGACCGGACCACATGAGGAGCAGGACTCAGGACGGACCACATGAGGAGCAGGACTCAGACCGGACCACATGAGGAGCAGGACTCAGACCGGACCACATGAGGAGCAGGTCTCAGACCGGACCACATGAGGAGCAGGTCTCAGACCGGACCACATGAGGAGCAGGTTTCAGACCGGACCACATGAGGAGCAGGACTCAGACCGGACCACATGAGGAGCAGGACTCTCAGCACAAACTGAAGGTTGAATAACTACAAACCCACAGAAACTGTTTCACTTATTTATAACGTCACTCTCAGGTTTTTATCTCACATTAAACATTGACTCATGGGAACACTATTTAAATTTAACTTTATTCATCTACAACATGTTTATGTAGATGTATTTACATTTATTTATTAACTATTGATCATATTTTCCTTTAAAGTCCAGTTTGAATTTTTTGCTCATTAATTCAAAGAAATGAGGACAGGATGAAGACTTTTGCACAGAGCCGTACATTCACAGCACATAAATCATTTATTATTTAGCAGAAAGAAAAAACTGACCTGCTCTGCAGGTTTCTTGGTTTTTCAATGATTCATGAAAGTTTTTGCTGCAGTGAGTTTCTGATTTGATGATAAATAAATCTGATTTATTGTTTTATTGTGATTCTCTGACATCTTTTATCTGAAGACTGAAAAAAAACATGCAGAAAATTTGATTATTTGAATTCTAAACAAAAAAAAAAGTTCCAAAGGGAAAATAAATGATAAAAAAAATGTGACGAGCAGATGTAATTATTTATAATTATCATCCCTAAAAACAAGTTTTCTTCTGTTAGCCTGTCTGCACACTTCTTACGTTTGTTTATTTCAACAACATCACAGGTTTATTTCTTTTACATAAACTGTTTTTAAAAAAAAAACACTTTGAAAACTTTAATTGCTGCTGATTTTATATTCAGTTTAAAATCAGGATGTTTTCAGAAAACTGCAGACTGAATGAAGCTGTTCTGAGCTGCAGAGGATCTGATGTCCTCAGGTTTAACTTCAGGTTTTAATGCAGCTTTACATAAACCTGTGGAGCCCCCTGCAGGCCAAGACTGGAACTGCACAACAAAACTGCTCTGTTGTTATTAAACTGATTTGAATTCAGGGCTGCTTACATCCCAAACATCAGTGTGAGAAATAAATCACAAAGAGCTGCTTGGAGTGCAGTAACTGCTGACTAAAGTATTTGAAGAGTTCTGAAGTTGTGTTTTCATGCTAACGCAGTATTTAACACAGAAATACACACAATATGTGGCATTCAGGCCCAGGCCTCTCAGTGGGTCCTGCCTGGTTAAATAACAGTAAAATAGATTTAGCCAGAAAACGCTCACATCAGACACAAATGACCTTAACAGAAATGTCAAGGTCACACAGCAGGAAGTACAGATTAGAAAGTTGTGACGTAGTGAACATTTAAGCAGCAGTATGATGGGATTTCTTCTGGTGGAGTCCAATGTGGAAAACAAAAGTCAGACTGGTCACCTGATGTTATTCCTGGTCAAACTGGTGTGGGATTAAGCTCCTAAGTTTCCATCAGTCACATTTCACCATGTAAAACGTCTGTTTTATCTCCTTGTATGAGTTTGTAATGGTTTGACTCTCTTTATAAAGTGCTTCCTGGCTCCCCCCCGTCTCCAAACTTTGGGCAGCTCTCTGTTTACAAGTCTAGTAGAGACAAACTGTTTTC